ATAATAATAATAATGACATTATAAAATAAGATGTCATTAATAATAATAAAGATTAGGGCATATCTACAGAGAAAGATAGCTTCACGGAATGATGGTTATTTGACTTCTTTTGCCATCGTAATGCCTTACACTTTTTTAATTTCTTTGGGTGGGTGTTATCGTTCTATCGTGCATACTAAATTTATTTTCAATAAGATAGAGATCAATATTTTTTTCTTATTTCTAGTTTTAAAAATGTTTATAAACTTTTTCTCCTTGTTACACATTTAGTAATTATAAATAGACTCTGAAGTTGTGTTGGCTTTAAAAATAAATAAAAATACGTACTCGATGAGTACATGTGTCTACTGCTTATCGATAAACAGCAACATTTTTGAATCATGTATATGTAAAATATTCACTTGCAGGTATTCAGGGCTTAATATTCTGCTTACGGTGCTCAGTTATTCCTTTAAAGCTTGTCACTGTAACAATCTGAGTCAGTTTCACATCGCATTGGCCTGTAACAATTAAGCGACATTGTTGACATATTTCGTGTAGCACAATACGCCAATTCAGTGGTCGTTTTTTGCGATAAATTCTTTCTAGATATTGCCAATACCTGAAAGCATTTTAATTAAACAACACTTGACACATTCCACGAAACCTGTGTGCCTTACGCTTGTTCCAAAAAAAAMCAGATAAAATTCACTACAAAAATGGAGGCGATTACCATGCAGAAATATCTGAATCCTACGAAGCGACATTGTTGACATGCTTCGTGTAGCATAATACGCCAATTCAGAGGTCGTTTTTTCGCGATAAATTCTTTCTAGATATTGGAAATACCTGAAAGCATTTTAACTAAACAACACTTGACACATTCCACGAAACCTGTGTGCCTTACGCTTGTTCCAAAAAAAAAAAACAGATAAAATTCACTACAAAAATGGATGCGATTACCTCGTAGAAATCACTGAATCCTATAAAATCATGGTTTGATACGTTAGTCAAACGTTTCCCGATAAAAAGTCGTAAGCAGACGCAAAAAGAGCAGCCAAGTCGACCAGCCAGTACGCGGGACTTCGGATAACATCGGCTATCCTCGCCATGCGCCGCTAGCTGTGCATGTGGGATCCCGAAAGTAATCTAAAGTTTTACAAGCCTTACACTGGGATGAACTTTATGTCAGTTATGTCGTATGTCATTTAACTATATTTTTCGCTAGTTAAATAGGATATGAAGTATATCTGGGTAAACTCGATGGCATAGTGTCTACTGCTTATTAATATGCAGTAGACCAAAAATTAAGTTGTATTTATAATGATTGATTTGATAACACGGAAACTTTTAATTTGCAAAACATTTACAAGTATTCGAAGAATTTTGTTGCAAGTTTCAACTTATTTCGACCATGTTTTTCTTTTTTCAAGTTCTATTTATTTTACCTAGAACTTTCCCTCTTGAATCAGTCATGTGAAAATGGTCGAGTGCGTATGCTAATAATCAAGATTAAGGTATGCCAAAACTCTGCGGTGTCTGAAAGTAAATTAAACTAACAAAACAAATCAGATTGTTGACAATAGCATATTTAAAACTTTTAGTTCAAAGGTTTTTATTTCAATGATAATTAATGGTAATAGTAATAGTCCCGTTAAAGTTTTATTATTATTATTATTATTACTCATATCAAGCTTTAGTCTATATGTTAGTGTCGAAGTTGGAGTAGAGAAAGTTCACTCCATATATGGTATGATCAATTCCATATTTGGATTGTGCGGAAAAGCGGCAAACAAAAAGGCCGTCGTTTTATAACGAATTCGACATGAACATTCGAGAGAAGAAAAAAAGAAAAAGAAAAAAAAAAGACAAGTAACAAAAGAAAAAATTTGGAAAATCAAGGAAGGATACGAGGACGATGCTAACTTGTGGGTCTGCCTCGCAGACAATACGGAAATACGACACTCAATGTTTGATATGATTGAATTTAGAAAACATAATAAAGTTTACATTCTTCCTCATCTTCTTCTTCTTCTTCTTCTTCTTCTTCTTCTTCTTCTTCTTCTTCTTCGTCTCCTTCCTCTTTCTTCTTTTATTACTTCTTGTCATTCTTGTTCTTGTTGTTATCATTATTATTATTATTATTATTATTATTATTATTATTATTATTAATTAATGTGTTTTATACCGATATTAATTCTATAATACGTGAATTGCCTTTATCATTTAACATTATATTGGGAAAATTTCGTTTACAGAAACTTGGACGAATGAATGTCAAAAAAAATAAAAAATAAAAAATAAAAACCTAATACTAAATTCCTGTTTAATAAATCTTAAGTTGTTATCTCAAAAAAAGCTTTCAAAGTTTAATCGCGACCGCGATTTAGCGAGCAAACACTTGAGGAAAATATTTGTTAAAAAATATTATTAATATCTTTTAACCGGCTTGTATTTATTGAGACTTTAATTACTACTTACCAGAAGGGATAAGAGAAGCAAACACTTGAGGAAAATATTCGCTAAAAAATATTATTAATATCCTTCAACCTTGTATTTATTGAGACTTTAATTACTACTTACCAGAAGGGATAAGAAGAGCAAGAACGCAAAGTGTTACAATGAGGAGCTTCATCTTTGTTTAGTTCTGAACGAGGATAATTAGAAGACAAACTTGAATCAAAACGAGTTGATCTCAGGTTAGATGTTTTCCAAGAAAGACGCGACCTTATAGTGAGAGCAGTCTATATCAAGTGTTTTTAAGAATTTTAAGGTGTGTTACCCGGAATCGAAATGTGTCAATCAAACTCACGTGGTATAGTGAGGGTTATAAAGTGATCGTTAATTGGCTAATTCGTTAAGCAGGTTACAGTTTTCTAGGGGCCAATTCATTGAACTTGCTCATGTGTAGGAAAAAAATAGAATGTTTTCTTTGACAAGTTTTGCCTTGACATGTTATATTTGCTCGCGTACTATGCCTAAGAAAGTTTCTGTTTTGGTCTAGTGTCGGAAGTCGAGAGTGCTACGCCGAGAGTCGGGAGTACCGGGTCGAGAGTCGAGACTACACTTGATCTGAGTACCAAATTACAGTGGGCTGATGAGTCAAGCGACAACGTTTGACAAGATTCACCAAAACCTTGTTGGTGTTCAGTTTCCTGATGATGTTATCAAGATAAACAGGCCATCTAGATTACCAAACTGTCTTCCCTACAGGCAACTTCAATGTAACAATGGCATTTATAAATATTGTCACATGGAACAATTTATGTCTGTCATCTCTTTCTACTTCTATTAGGTCAGTTCAGGTGCATTGTTTCATTCTAAATTAGGTTTTATAATTTATTTAGCATTTCAATATATTTATGCCATGTTTATTTCTCCTTTGTCTGCTCAATCTGATCAAACCTTGACCTTTGTGGCCTGAGATTGGTAGATCAGTCATAATTAAAATATATAAAAAAATAAAAATAATTGATAATAATAATATTAATAATAGTATCAATGATATTATTAATATCAATAATACTAATAATAATTAATGATGATGATGATGACGGTGATGTTGAGGATGATGATAATAATGATGATGGTGATGATGGAGGTGGTGGTGAGAGTGATGATGACAGAGCTACAAACATTACGATTACATCCAATATAAAGCTGTGTTCTCGGAATCCAAAACATTGCAAAAGACCCAAGATTTCATTGTTAATTGGAAATCGACACACTCCAATTAATTTGACTTTTCTTGCTTGATTCCCGAATATACTTAAGGTATTTTGATCTCTCAAAACACTAAATATTTCAATAACGCACATTTTTTAATCGGTTATTCTCAATAACGCAGACATTATATTTTATGTTTTCGCTAGACACAGGAAAATCACGTGATCGATTTTAACAAACAATGTATCTTCACGAAGTGTGGTTACTTGTCTTTTTGCCTTCGTAATGCTTTACATTTGTTATTACTTCGTTTTGTGTCATTCAACGTTTTTATTATCCTTGCGGCTTATAATGAGCTATTATTTGATTTGAAATAACTGAATCAAGATGAATTATTTTGTTATTGGCGTCTATATAAAGACGCCTTGCAGAACTTTTATTTGTTTTGTCTTTCAAATTGAGCTGCTTGACGTCCCACTGACATGCAAGGTGTTCCAAGTGGTTAGAAACCAAGATTTTTTAATTCGTTTCAGAAATATTTGTAAACTCTTTCATTTTATTATGCATGTAGTAACTAATAATAGAGGTTGTATTGGCTTTAAATACAAATAAAAATCAAGTTGTATTGATCATTGTAATAACATTGAAAAAAAAATTGCAAAACTTTTACAAGCATTCGAAGAACTTCGTTTCAAGTTTCATTGTATTTGGATAAGTTAAAGTTTCCTTTACACTTTTCTCATAAATTTTTTCCTCAGTGGAAGTTTAATAAATAGACAAATGAAAGTTAACTTTTTTATGTCAAAATGCGGTAAGAATGCTAATAATCGCTTAAGGTGTGTTAAAACTTTGCGTCTGAACGTACTGTTGACACATAACACGTTTAAAACTTTTAAATTCAAAGGGGTTTATACTGATAGTAATATATATTATTGATAGTAATAAACCCGTTCAATAATAAAATGATATTATAATCTTCTAAATTACAGTTATATAACAATATTTTTGTGAAAGTTTCAGTTGCAAAAACTTAGACGCGAATGAATTAAAATAAAATAAAATAAAAGTTATGTAAGAAAAAGCTTTCTGAAACTCATGAATATTGAATGAGGAGAAAACAAAGCAAATCACTACTGTGACGGTGGTTTGGAAATGTGTTTTTAATTTGCATTAAATTTCGTAAACTTTTTCTTTGATTTTCTCCAAAAAAATTTCATGAGTTTTAGAAGTAATATTTGAAACACGCGAGATAGTTCTTCCTCCGATTTCCAAACACCTCAAAGTCAGTTAAAAAAACTCGGCTGCGCATCGTTTTTTCAACTCACTTTTCGGTGTTTGGAAATCAAGGGAAGAACTCTCTCGCGTGTTTGAAATAYTACTTTAAAGTTGATATCGCGATCTTGATTTAGCGAGAAAACACATTAAGATGGATCCAAACTAATTCAGAGGGAACAATCACACTGTTAGAATTTACGATAATCAGAGCACATTATTTGAAGGAAAAAAAACACTTAAATTGACACACTAGTTTTGCGAAGCGAGCGAGAATAAAATTGTACAAAATTCGCTCTGCCATTAGTTTGGTTCCTTCTTAAGGAAAATATTTTCTAAAATTTATAATTAATATTATTTGAATTTTATATTTATTCCTTGGGTATTAACAACTACTTCAAGAACGCGAAGTGTTACAATGAGGAGCTTCAKCTTGGTTTATAGTCCTGAACGAGGCGGGGTAATTCGAAAACAAACTGCGGAAAAGCACTTTTAAGTGTTGTCGTTGATTATAGTTATCCGTTCCTAGTTTAATTCCGTAAATAAGATTTTGTTTTGTTCCTGAGGTATTTAATGGAAGTCTACGTTCTTATCCCAAGAAAGAATGTTATAAACAAAGTTAATTTGGGATCAGTCGTTTTGCTACGTAGACGCCACCGATGGTAGAAGCAAACACGAGCTGACGAAAACCGCTTAGCTCAGTTATTTCTTTTTCCGTTATTCTATCATTTGCATATAGTTATTCATTCGTAGTTTAATTCCTTATTAAGATTTTGTGTTGTTTTTAAGATATTTAAGGAAAGTCCATTTTTTAACCCAACAATTTACTTGTTCAAGCCGGTTGATTTCGGCTCAGACTGACGCCCCCAACGGTACGAGCGAACATTACAGAAACCACTAAAATCTATTATTAATATCTATTTATCCCTTACTTATTTATTAGACGTTAATAGCTATCTACTTACCAGAAGGGATAAGATAAGCAAGAAAGCAAAGTGATACAATGAGGAGCTTCATCTTGGTTTACTCCTGAACAAGGATTCGAAACTTTTAATTTGCAAAACATTTACAAGTATTCGAAGAACTTCGTTGCAAGTTTCCACGTATTTCGACCAGTTTTTTCAAGTTTTATTTATTTTACTTAGAACTTTCCCTGTTTAATAGCGGAGCTATAGACTTTTAGATATCTTTCTACAGATAATTTATTAAATCATTAAATGAAAYATAAATTTTTACCAAATATTCAACTGTTTATTAAGCTGTTCGAGCAAGTATGATTATAAAAATGAGCTTAAATTTGTGTGGTTGARAGATGTTATTGTATAAAGACCTACTAGACTTTCTCTAAAAAGCTAAAAAATATTCAAAAACATTTACAAACGCCAATTTACTGCCAAAGAAATGAATCATTTTGTATTTTGCATTGCCTTTTGCATTATTTTCTATTTTGTCTCAGTTGTTCTTGTCAAGTTTAAATGAATGTAAGCTTTGTTTTTGGAAAACTGTAAAAGACCTAATTAAGTAAACCTCATTTTTTGCTCACCTTAACCAGTCAAGTCTGTTCAGTTTTGGTCTTGATTTGTCCTAAATCTCCAGATTCTCGATTTCAATGAAAGACATCCGAGGTAAATTTCACTAAACTTGATATTGTATTGGATTATCTGTAGTTAGCTTTCGTTTTTTTTCAAGTAAAAGAGATTCAAAGCCTAAAACTGTCGGCCTTGGAAAACTTTGTCGAAGAATCTTCCAAGAACAAAACTAGCCCCTGGGGGTGGTGGTGAGTCATGTACAAAATTCCTAAGTGGGAGAGTATACTCGCGCAAAAAAAACAAAAAACGATGTAGTGCATTTCGATTCGATTTCACTGCATGGTTTTTATTATGGGAGAAATTATCATCATTTCGAAAAAAAAATAATTGAAGATTTTTTGAATAATTGAAGTGTTCTCCCTGTGACTTCCGTATCGGGAGGTCCGGTTTTAGGCAGTGCCTAAATATATATTATTTAAATACGAACCAAACTAGATTAGAAATCCCTTCTCATCAGCCTCAGTTTCGTCTACGATGGCTTAGTGATACAACCAAATGGAAGGATAAAGATAACAGGCTTGCCTTGTGATTGAATTATGTGTTTTGATGAAAAGACTACATCCCGGGCGTTTAGATTATATCACAGCCCCCTCACAGCTCAAAGTACATACATTTACAGTATGAACAGATGAAAAAAAAGATGTTAGTACCTAGTTAATTGGGGAGGTGGGTGAGTTGTATAGGCGTACAAGTGGCTTGCGGGTCCATAATTCCTGTAAATGCATTTCCTTTACAACCAAAACAAAACAAATTACACAATTGATCCCCATTTCTCTTGCTCTTGTAGAATCTGTTACCGTTTGCCTCAAAACCCAAAATTATGGAAAATCTGTATCTGGATTCACTCCTTGGATCGGACTTTTCCTAGGTGGTTTGTCGGAATGAGGAAAAAAAATTTCTTTAGTATTTCGACTTGAAATTATAGTGAAAAGTCTAACATTACTAGAAAATAAAAATAAAAATAAAAACAAACTTTAACGCAGTTATTTTAAAAGATTAGTGAAAATTATGGCTCATATGAGAAGGATACGTTAAGCCGGTGTACTTGGTGAGAATCTGTGAATTTATTCCACTTATTTTCTCATTTCTTTTCTTTTTTATGAAACAAGGCATCGAAAAAGACGTTCGAAAACTCCTCACATGCGTTCCTGCTAGATGACAATCTAAGACGGAAAATAGAGCGGCGTACAGTTACCATAGATACAGCGAAGGGAAAATAGATAGTCTTTACCAAACGAATGGAGATTCTGTACCGTATCCCCAAATCCATCAATGCTATTCAAGTGAAAACAGAAAAAATAAGTAGTGATTTTTATGTTTTTTCAAAATATATGTATTTATGGTGTGCGTTTATTTTTTACTATTTAAAAGTATGGACTGCCTGTGGTGCGACGAAGGTGAATATACCACAGGTAGCCCAGCCCCTATTTCATATTAGAAACCAGATTGTGACTTTCACACCTGTGGACAGGCCTCTTTACCCTTTTTCAAATCAAAGCATTTATTTTTTTGTTCTCCTTTGACAAAAAAGGATATATAACTTATGGAAGTTCAAAAAACTCCTTTCAATGGATGTGAAAAAGTAGCTAACACATGGCTTCACGCATAGTTCACAGCTAGTGAAAGGACCTTTGAAGCTCCTTAGTCAACTTCTAAGCCATAGTGAATCATTATGTTTTTAAAAGCTACTTTTAATGTATAGCTTCTTTCATCCGCGTTTAGAAGAATATATTAACTTTTCGATTATGAAAAAGAAAAACTTGAAGCTTGTAAAAGATTTCCTTTTTTCTCTATGTTCTATAAAAAGAAATAATGGGCAAATGAATGTGGTTTAGGACTGGATTAGAAGCTTCAAAAGTCATTTTACTATGTGAACTTCAAGTTAGCAAAATAATTAACATATAAAGATAAACTTAAATGGACGAAAATGGTTCAAGAGGGTTGATTTGGAGGTCCAAAGGTTCCTTTGCACTGGATGTGAACTAAGCGCAAAAAACATGAGAGGGAGCGTACTTTTTCGCCTCCATTGAAGGGACTTTTTTCACGACTTCGAAACTCTATAATTATTTTGTTGAAATTAAATCAAAAATAATAATAATAAATATTAAACAAAATCAAAAACGAAAACAAACAAACAAACAAACAAAAAGATCAGAGAAAAACTTAATGGGCGAAAATGATAATGGACGATCAGGAGTTGACTGAGGAGCTTCAAAGGTCCTTTCACTGGATGTGAACTAAGCGTGAGACCATGAGGTAGCTACTTTTTCACATCCATTGAAGGGACCTTTTACAGTTTCTTAAAGCTATATATTTTGGTCAACTCATAGAATACACCAAGTAAACAAACAAAAATATAGATCAGAAGGACGAAAATGGTCCAAGAGTTGATTAGAAGCTTCAAAGGTCCTCTCACTGGATTTGAAATAAGTATGAGGTCATGAGGGAACTCAGTACTTTTTTGCGTTCATTGAAGGGAACTTTTTCAACTTCGAAACTCTATATTTTTTGGTCAATTTAAAACAAAATAAATAAACAAATAAATAGAATTAAAATAAAGAACAGAAGAAATTGATGTTATACGGTTAAATGGTTCAAGAGGATTGACTGAGGAGCTTCAAAGGTTCTTTCAATAGATGTGAACTAAGCGTGAGACCATGAGGTACTATTTATTCACAGCCATTGAAAGGACATTTTTCATCATCGAAAAGTTAGTATGTTTTTGCCAACACAAAATGAAGAATTACAATAAATGTAGACCAACTTCCAGGCGTGGTTCGGATTAAATGCCCCGCAGTTTTTAACTTTTGACCGTTTCACAACTGAAAGGAATTCTAGTTCTGATTTAAAGTAATTTTTCAAGAGAAACGTCAAGCCACTCTCTCTTTCGCTTTAAAGAGATTATTTTGTTTTATAGATTCATGATCTAAAGTTTGTTTGAGTATGTATAATTTTTAGGTCACCCATCCAAAAACTAACCCTCCTCAAACRGGCTTGACTCATTTTCTTCGATGCCCAAGTTTATGCCACTGAGCCACGGTTCTCTACGGAATCAGCACAACAATAGCCGTGAAAACAATACACCGAAGTGACTAGACTTTT